TTGACACCAGATCCGGGCCAGACCTGTCTGCTATGTGGGATATAGTGCTGCAGAACTGTGCACCTCCTCATTCTTTTCCCACATGTTTGCACTGAGTACGAGATGCTCTGTATCCCATTGTACATGTGTACAGTGACAATATTATAATAGTATAATAATAGTATGATGCCATTCCATATTAGATTCCTGATGAATTTGGGTTGTTGTTGTTCAGCCTGTTTCTATGTGCCACTTTGTAACTTTGAGCAAACATCTCAGACTCACCAACATAGCACAGCTAAGTTTTTCCATCAATGTGAGTAATGTTAACTCTGAGTCATGTCTGTAGCCAAGAAAGTGAACGCAGGGTATTAAAAAAGAAAAAAAGGGAGTGGGGGAAGGAGAAAGCTGCTCGCAAGAAAGGTGAGCAGAGCACAACTAAATCGTCATGATTCTAGCATACGTGCCGTTTATATTGTTCATGTTTGGAGTACAAAACTACAGTTTCCTAAATACAGTCACTATTTCTGGCCCCTTTTGTAACTCAAACATGGCATACAAAGAAAATTACATGTAATTAAAATAAAAGCGGAATCTAGCCACAACAGTCTGATTGTGAAATGCAAAGCAGGCATTTTTTTTTTATCGTCATGAAATATCATTTTTTGACTGTTTCTGCAGCTACAGACCACAAATCTTACTCTTTATCTAAACCCCTGTAACTCAGATCCTACTAAACTGAAAGTACATTTGTTTTTTCATTTCTTGCTTTAAACATCTTATATACACGCTGGCCACACGTTGGGCTGGTGTTGGAAACACAGATTTGGGTCCATGTTGCCATGTTAGCATCACACAGTTGCTGCAGACTTGTCAGCTGGACACCCATAATGCAAATCTCCTATTTCAAAACATCCCAGGTTTTCTGCTGGACTGATCTGAGTTCAGTGAACCCAATGTTGTGTTTGAGGTAGCTGAGCGCTGTGACACGGTATGTCATCCTGCTGGAAGCAGTCATCAGAAGACACGGTCGTAGTAAAGAGATGGACATGATCGACAATTCTCAGGCAGGCAGTGGTGTTTGAACGATGCTCAGTTGGTACTAATATTTTACTGAAAATGTGCAAACTGTAGTCTCGGTTTCTCAGTTTGGTCTTCTGCTGCTGTGTCTTGTGCATTCAGAGATGCTCTTCTGCACATCTTGGTTGTAATGAATCTTTATTGGTGTTATTTTTGCCTTCCAGTCAGCTCAAAGCGTTCTCCTCATACATCTGACATCAAGGTGTTTACACCCGCTCACTGGATGCTTTTACCTTCTTCAGGTGATGTCACATTTTGGTCACCTTGACCATGTCAGCACACCTGAGTTGCTGTGATGTGATTGGTTGATTGGTCGTCTTAAAAAGCAGTTGAACAGGTGTATCTGACGAAGTGGCCGCTCACCGGATGTGAGTGAAAAATTATTATAAACCCGGGATGTCGTAGGCATTTGTTTCACCTGCGTTAGTCATATGTCCAAACTCCAAAGAAGGATCATGAGTATTTTCACTCGCTGAAACGTCCTGGAAGCATTTGTTCATCAACTGTTTAATAAATATCTTTTAAAAAAGGGCAGCACAGCCTCATTTCCTTTACTCTGCATTTATAGTCGGCCTATTTTCAGAGAGGAAATTTCCCGCTGCTTCTTCTGAGCAAAGAATGATTATTTACAGCTGAATTTCCTTTTAAGTGAATAAAACTGTAAATGTAATATGTCCTTTGATAGCAAGTTAAGTTTGAGGTTTACTAGATGACATCAGAACTATAGAAAAGTCAGCATGTGTGCGGATCAGGATGAAGAGAATAAAAGCCCTGCTCTGCCAGACAAAGAAGAAAAAGCTACAAAGATGAATATTTTAGAAAATATGACGACACAGTCAAATATTTTACAAAGCCTGAGTTGGAGAAAATATTCCAAAGAGTGTAAAATATGAAATGATCCCAGATTACGTTCATTTCTGGGAATATAATATTTAAATCTTTTCCTTACACAAATACAATAAACATAAATGTTTATGGGCCCAGAGCCGTCATGCTGCTGTTTGAAGTGCTGTCAGATTATCTGATAGATTTGCATGTGTGACTTGTCTCAGTACTTTGCATGATAGCGAGAGAGGAGCGGGCGAGACGGGAGGAGGTGAACACAGAGCCACTGATCAGCTGTTTGTATTAGCAGTTATTCGTCTGTGCGTCGTGCCGGCGGACATAAAGTCACATTCGAGCAAAAGTGAGAAGTGGGTCAAAGTAGCTACAATAAAGTGTACACACAGAAAATAACCAATAAATAATGAATACAGCAGATTTCAGAGCTCATGTTGCTAACACTTGCTATGCTAACTCACACAGTCTAATTTGTTCCAGCTGAGTGAACAAAATCTGCACCGTGCACTCTTTTAACAGCTGACTGAACTCTGTGGTCACTTTAAATAAAGAAATAACATTAAGCTGCTTTTCTGTGTCTTCACATCCATCAACCGTATTAATGCAACATTACCGATTTCCTGTTTGTGCAGCTGAACACATGAACACATTATATTAACACAGCATATCGACTGGTGTGTAACAGAAGTGGATTTCCTAAAGCTGCTCGTGGATCAAGTGGCTCTACAGCGACGAAAAGACAGGTTGTGTTTGTCCTGAGCTGAAAATAAAAGGTTGAGGGCTGTTTCCCATAAACTGTTCAGTGAAGTGAGATTTACAGAGTGCTGGGACAGAAGAAGGCTATCAGCTGCACCTCTGTACAACACGTCTGTTAGTTCTTCAGTTACTGATCCCTAAAGGTTATATTGGGGGATGTTTTTAGGGGAAGCATTTGCCTACATTTACATGTAAGGCTGAGCTGTGACACACTAGACTGTGGTTACAATTGTGGGGTGTGGCAGAAATAAGAGGCCTAAAAGAGGCCTGTGTCTACAACTGAGCCAGATGTCTGGCTGCTGATGGTAAGACCCAGCCATTTTTTGGGAATGACAATTCAGTTAAGCGGGTGTGAATTAACTGGCTCGCTTAACAAACAGCTGAGCTCAGTCAGTGGCTCATTTGTCTTGTGGGCCTGATGTAGAGATCCCAATAGTCTCTCAGTTTACACCACCTCAGCTCAATGAGCTGGCGGCGACGTGAAGAAAAGGTTTCCTGGACTCTGCAATCCTGATCTTTATCAGCGTAACCACAGAACGAGTCAGTGCCAGAGCTGCTCAGGCAAAGGTCTGCAGCACTGCCTAAATATGGATGATGGAAGATGGATGATATGTCACCACTTCCTTGCACTGTGCCAAAGAGAAGCTAAGCGCGTCTTGTAAACGGGCGACTTCAGGTGATATCGGCTCAAACCTGCAATCATTTTGGTTGCAGCTGACATCACAAGCATGAGACTGCAGGACACATGTCACTTCTAGTTTTGCTCCATCTTTAGACAACCTGAACATTTACAAAGCTCGCCTTATTCTGCAGCACATGGATGAAGTCTGTGAGCAGAACTAACAAGCTCCGCCCACAGGACTGATAGAAGAAGCCAGAATGGAAACGCTGAAAACTCTCTGCTGATCCTCTCGTGGCTCCTCGAAGATGGCTCCAATGGTGAGTCTGAACTTTGAAGCCTCAAAGCCTTTGTCTGCTGCCAACTGTGGGTGGAAAGATAAGCTATCAGCTAATTCTTGGATAGCAAGCTGCACCCATAAACCTACTTGTGGTGTGGTCGCAATAACTGACTATCCCGACAGTCCTGGGACTAAAATTTATAGATGAAGAAGCATCTTAGTCACATGGTAGAGTACACCGTACTTTATTATTCCTTGCGAGCTTATTGGGAACCATAACTGTGCTTTATTTATTAGGGGCTCAAACTAGTGACTGAGACAATAAATACACATCGGAAGTGTTTAGTAAGGACACAGATCCAGGGAGCTGGAGGATGTTTTCCCTCTACAGTCTGCAGACATCATTCTGAGACTTTACCCTGCCCGGCCATCAGACAGAATGCAAGGTTAACACACTTCAGCTACATCTATCTTTTAAATACAGTCGAAGAATCAACTATGGAAGCATTTAAAGTAGCGAGCAGCACCCGTCTTCACACACTGCTTCACCTTTCACACCGGAGCAGAGCAGCTGCTGCTGTAAACTGCTGCAAAAACAGCCTTTTAAATGAATAACAGCCAGTTAGTGCAACAAGTAAAGTGCTGCAGCTTCTCTGGACCAGCTCACTCTGCTGTTCATATGAGGAAGAAGGAAAATAACACCAAAAAAATCAAAGTAAAGCATAAAAAAAGGCTTGAAATATTTCACTTTATAAGTAATATAATACAGATTAAATAGAGATTTATTGATCCTCTCGCTGATCAACCACAGACCTGCTCATCAGTCTAAAACACTGAAGCATAAAATCACACGTGACTTAAAAGATGAAATTCACAGTATCACATCTGCACAGACGCTACAGGCCTGCTGTGATGCAGCATTCCACAGTCTTTGTTTAAGCTGTTAATTACTCATCTTATCTGCCCAGAATCCAAGTCAGGATTTGGACTTTGTGCTAACTGGTAAGGAATAGTAAATCCAGGAATGTGTCCAGTTTGTAAGACAGGTAATCAAAGTTTCTGTTTCTTGTCTTCATGAACTTTACCGGAAGGAAAAAGGAAGGAAAAAGAAGCTGTGATCGCCAGTGTTGTAAATTCCCTGAATTATTCCTCCAAGCTACGTCCCTTCAGTCTGATTCTTCACTCTGTGTTTTTTAATAGTGATGAAATGAATTCACTCCAGTGCAGCTCAAATGTGAACACGTCCATCGTGCTCTCGCTGATGTAAAGCAGGCCTGAAACCTGCACACTGGTGACAAACCACACTGTGCAGACCACCTTTAAGCTCCCTTTAAATCCACATGAATTAGTAGTAACTGGGTAGACTGGGGGGGTGGGGCATGAATGGAAGCGATATATAGCTGGGTGTGTTTACAGTCACTCCTGGTCATCCTCTGGTTCTCTGAGGCCCTGACTGTGCATGGTCTTCCCTGTGATCTCCATCAGGGCCTGGGCCTCTGGATCCACATCCAGGATGCTCTTCTTAGCTCCGCCCTCCTCACCCTGTAAAGCAAAATAATAGGTACAGAAAATAAAAACACAGTTTTTAAAGGAAACAGCAGGTTCATGCAGAAGAACTTCAGCTCTCGTGGTGCAGTGCATGCTCTGTGCATGCACTGATCAGCATTAGAGTGCAACAAAATCTCCTCAGTGTGAGTTTGCCATTAGACAAATTCTGCTGTGTGAAATGTTGTACTTTCATATATTATTAATGCAATATACAACTGCACAAAAAGTTAGTGCTCTGTGCATATTAATTACCTTGAAAAATAATTTAGGAAAGTAACATAAAGTGAGATTTGTGGAGTACTAGCACACTGGGCGATAAACTGGTCTGTCTGCTAAACCTGCAGAGTTACTGATCCCTAAAGGTTATTTAGGGGGATGTTTTGATGGGAGGTCTTTGCATACATTTACATGTAAGGCTGAGCTGTGTTGTGACACAGAGACTGTTGGTTACAGTGGTGGGCGTGGCAGAAATAAGAATAAGAGAGACCTAAAAGAGGCCCGTGTTTATGACAAAGCCACCTGACTAACAGCTGTTTGGGTATCACCTTGTTGCTGCACAATATTATTTTATTTCTGTCAAACTGTGCTATCTTTGGTATTACTTGTAGATTCAACAGAAGTAATGGGAACAAATGATGTGTTTTATGACAGGCTGCTAGTGGCAAAGTGCCTAAAAATGTAATTTAAGCATTTAATTTGAAAGAAATCTAAAGAATAACTGTGAAAATGATCAGGTACAGGGAGTGGACAGAAAAAGCCGCCAATGTTCAAAGAAAACATTTGAAAGAGCTTCAAAAAGCCTGGATTGCTCAGGAGTCCTTTAAATTTAAAAGGAATTGCTCCTTGGAAATAAAATATGAAGAAATGAGGGGTGGCTCAAGACTTTTGCACAATATTGTATGCAAGAATACTAAAGAGGAGATTCTGTCTGTTAGTCAGGAACTTTGAAGGAATAATGCATGTTTCCTCTTTGTCCTCTCTGGAGCATCCGAGTGTGTGTGTCTCTGTCGACTTTCTGAAAGTCGACAGAGCCCCTTATAACCCCGTGTGCCTTATGTATGAACTCTGGTTGTGTTTACTGACCTGGAAACGATTTTATGTGCACGGCGCTCTAAAATCTGTCAGATGTTTCAGTACGACTTTGCTAAGCTACGAAGCCGCACCGCTTGATGGATTGTCGGAGCATTGCGGCTATCGTAGGCGGAGCCTCGCGGAGTGATACGTGCTGTGCTTCAACATAATATTACCGTATTGTGTGTGTATAACCTCTTTTTAAGTTTTGTGGATATTATACATGGTTATGCTGAGGATATGTCGGCCAGTTTCCACTTGAAATGCCTTTCGGTTAAACTGTCAGCAAGAAATTTTGCACTGTTAAAATTTTATATAACTTTAATGCAGATAAAAAACAGCTGCTTGTTTAAGTGAAAATACATTGATTTTTTTTTTTGCACTAAAGTTGAGGAGTTGTAAAGCATTTTGTCTCGTGTCAATTATATCGTCAGTTATGTCGTTATCGCAAATTTTCAAATGTATATCATGATAAATATTTTTGTTCATGTCGCCCTGCTCGACTATCCCAGCAATTTTCTTTTGATTAGACATAAAAGCTGCAAACACTAAAAATGGGCTCTAAAGAGAAACTTTAGTTAAGGCCCAAATCACACAAAATGCAAACATGTATTTCTTTGGTTTTAAACTCAATGTTTGACGGAGATGTTGTTTGGCTGTTTGTGTTCAGACAGCCACACATTGTTGGCTCCAGGTACACCGACTAACACCCAGTGTAAACCTTCTGACTCTAGGTCAGCACGGGTCTTTATTTTGCCGAGTTTATAGAAGAATTTGAACAAGTACTCTGACCTCCTCGGGCTCTGGGGGTTTTCCCACAGCCCACACTTCCATGGAGTCCAGAGTGAAGTCTTTGTCTCCAGAGAGCTGAGGGCTGCCATACGTGGTGCACTTGGGTCGTGCCCGGCTATGACCGCGGCCAAAGTCACTATCCAGCCACAGGCCGAAATAGCCGTGCTGACCGCCCATCCCCTGATGAACACCAGACAACACATCTTTATGTCAGTTAACACAAGCAGGTCACACAAAACAAATCATTTAATTTTTCGGGGGCCACTCAGGGACAAATAAATAAATATCGTCTCTTTAGCCGCTGTGTTCAGGAAAACAACCGAGTACTTTTGTATGCTGAAATCTAACCAGCAGGTGAAAGTCAAAGTGAAACACCTGAGAAACCAAAACTGAGCAAGTGGAATAAAACCGACTCCTGTCCAAACGTGGACAGGAGCCGCTGCGTCCACGCTGAGGAACCTATGAAATGTTCAAATGATTTCTAAATGATCAGAAGATGTGCTTAGTTTGTCAGGTCAGGCTGAACATAGCTGCTGTATGAGGTACAGAGCCACATGCTCCTGAGTATTACAGCCTGCTTACTGCACCGCTGAGATGATGATGAGATATTCTGCACTTCTGTGGGACTTTCTGTTGAAACTCTTCTGATTCTGGACAAAATCGAAACTTTTACTCTTTTTAATTCTGCTGTCCAATTATTCGAGTCATCGTTGGCAGATTTCTGTTTACTATCATCTGTAGACCCTCAAATGTCAAAGACAGCGCAGCTCTACATTACACCTGAAGCACAGATACTACACCGTCATTGCACTGTGACAACAACAGGTGACACTGATATCACTGAGTGTAGCTGTTGGATCAGTGAGCCAACACTGCTACCATCAGGTCAGAGATAACCAACGTGCTCAGCACACACCTCAGGAGAATTTTTAGATAAAAGGGTAAAAAACAAAGCTTTTTAAAATTCACTTTCACACAGACTGCTATGTTCCCTAAACCACATACAGCTTCTCTAAAGATATTAAGGCTCTGGTAAAAGTAAGAGGTCATGTGTGAGGATATCTGTGATGAGCACAGGCCCTGAGGAACACTAATAAGTTCTCTCCAGCTGAACGAGTGTGGTCTCACCAGTCCGTTGGGCATGGTCTGCTGGTTCTGATTGAGGTACATGAAGTGTTGGTTGTATCCTGTTGCTGTATAAACTCTCAGTTTGGGGCTCACAGTGAACAGGAAGCATCTGGAGTCACCTGCGCGCACACACACACACACACACACACACACACACACACACACACACACACACACACACACAAATATACAAATTATGAAGATGTGAGAGGAAAGTCAAGGGACAGCCCACAGTATTCAAAGCAGTGGTGTTACTTCCTCAGTGTTTCATTTCATCCGTGTTTTCAGATGAGTCTCTACCTGCTGCCTGACATATTTGTATCTATTAGAGCCGACACACTTTCTTTCTTGTGGTTAATCTTTTACTGAGCTGTAAATCTCATCCGATTACGTACTGCTATGGAGCGCCTTAGAGAAAAACCAAATGATGCTTCAGTGATTTGACATTTACAGATGTCTCAAGATATGCACAGAAAAAAAGTTCTGCAAAGGATGAATAGCAAAGAGGTTTGCGTTTAAAACGCAGCCACGGCTCAGAAGCATAAACAGTAACGCAGCGATTTATTAAGAGCTCTTTGCTCCAAACGAGCAGCAGCTTCTGGGTCAGAAAATGAAGCCAATGCAGAAGAACTGCAGCTCCTCTCGTTAATGCAGACTTCAAAATGAGTCGAGGCCCACAGACTGCCCAAATTCACAACATTTAAAATGCAGACTAAAGAAATCATTTCTCTAATGTTGGTGCCTTCTGGAGCTGTTTTACTGATGACAAGTAATACGGCTCGTTGTTTGATACAGCACCAAAGGTTTTACCAGAGAGAAAGTTATGCATCCATTTAATCCACATTGTCATTGTGATGCTAAAATCCACACGCCAGCAGAGATGTGTTTGATATATTTACATATAAAATATTAAAGGAATATAACAAAATATGTATAAATATTTGTAAAAATTATCTTAGGTGCTTTTTTTTAACGTTTTATAATTTTTAGATTTGCTGTGTTTTTTTCAAATATTGTATCAGTCCAGTTAAGATAAGATGAGATAAGCTTCACCACACATGAGAAATTTGTTTTGTTACAGCAGTAAGTGAACAGTGCAAAGTTACATAGCAAAAATAAAAAAAAACACTGGAATAGGATGAGATGATATGAATAAGAATAAGATACTGTACACAATAGAATAGAATAAAATAAAATACTATATACAACTGAGTAAAATACAACGTTGTTAAAAAAGAATTGCACCTAGTGTTATTGCACATACGGCAAACACACACATCCACATGTGTGGATGTGTGTGTTTGGTCAGCTGTGAAGTCTTTGTTGTGGAGTGTGACAGCAGTGGGGAGCAAAGACCTGCAAAATCAGGTGAGTCAGTGCACTGAAACGTAATTCTAATGAATGAAATATACTTGACAGAGAAATCGACATCATGCCTTCTGGCTGGATGGTGTGGAAAGTTGTGGTGTGGGCTAAGAGGGGTTACATCTTATTAAGTCACGATGTAGATCTTCCACAGACATCTAAATCACGCTTAATATGCACTAACTGGTGTATGCTCTGAATGACAATAAAGTATCGATTCTAATATATTCTATTCTAGACTAGAGAACAGGGGCTTCAGAAAGATGAAGAAATTCAGCTAGAAACAAAGTTTTTATGTGTGGCTTGTTTCATGTGAATCGTGTCTAAACCACAGCATCAAAGAACTTTTAGTTTTCTTTAAAAAAAAGTAACTTCCTGTTCGGCCACTCAAGCCTGTGCAACAGACAGGTATGACTCGAACCCGCGAAGTTAAACACTCACTGATTTTTCTTTTAAATCTGGATGTATTACTTGGTTTTACGACAGTGCCAGCAGCTCTCAAAAACAGGTCACTGTGATTTGTGCGGTCCTTTCTTGTAGGACCACAATCAGAATGATTTATTTCACTTGGCTAAATGTTAGAAAAAAATATTAAAATATTCACTTTGTGGCCTTTTTTACATTTTAGAGGAAACAGGAAAGCTTGGAGAAAAAAATGACATTAATGAAGTAACATCGTGCCAAACCATATATGCATCTGTCTTTTTATATGATTCTGATTACAGAAACTCCCAAATCACCACACTGTTAAATTCTCCCTGAGCGGCTGCATCAGACAATACTACTTAAAGAAGGATCATTTCGAGCTGTGAATCATGCAAAGCTACCCAAATACAGTGCAAGAATAAAAATGAGCACAACAGGTGGACTTCAGCTCTTTTGCAGTGGGAGCACTAGTCTGTGGCATACTTACCCTGAAACTGAGGTTTGACCTCCCAGGTGTGGGAGGCGAAGCCCCCAAAGACCTGCCCCTTGGTGTCTCTGATAAGCAGCAGGGTGGGCCCCTGCTTCATCAGGCCAGCCACCATCCTGGTAAAGCTCTCCCCGTGCAGCCGAGTGGAAAACACAAGCCTCCAGGGGGCGCTGTAGCCATCTGGCAGCTGGTGAGATTAAAGTGACGTGTGGAAGAATATGTGTGACATCTGATGAATGATTTGCTGTTATAATAAAAATCACACTACAACAGAGGAGGTGGATCGGGAGTCTGAAAGGTGACGGAGAACCTGTTCCCCTCTTGTTACTCAGATCACTGAATGTCTTGTTTCGCCACTTTGCATGACTCAGTGCTTTTAGTTCTTGTTATCCCACTAACACTCCCCCTATTCTTCGCAGCTTTCACCGCACTCTGCATGTGCGCTGCTGGAAAGACGAGTAAATGCTGTGCCAAACCCACTGACCAACCCCACTCAAAGACAGCAACTACTGCCCGCTCCACTCTGTTTGTAGTAGAGTATATAAATACAAAAGCATGGTTGCTTGGCACATTCATTTAAATTAATGCACTCCCAGCCTCTCCCTAACCTAAAATGAACTCTACCTAGAAGTTAAAACCAAGTCTTAGCCCTCAAACAGGCCCTTCAGAAGGCGTGCGAACATGAGAGTTGATCGAATTTCTTTTACAACATTTCATATCTTTGATTGTCTGAAGCTCAAACAAGTTCTCAGAGACACAGCCGGACAGGTTCACACACTTGCTTTTGTCTTTGGTTTCCTGTGACAAACTACTTCAATCGCTCACTCGTGAGCAGGCGAGCAGTTCTTGAGAAAGCTGCAAGCCACAATCTCTCCATTCTGCACGGCCATGTTTAGAAGAACACACACACACACACACACACACATTCAGCGAGTACATCTTTTATTGTAAATATTTGGACAGTGATGTACCTTTTGTCATTTTGCCTCTGCACACAGGCCTCTTTCACCTGCATCGATCTCTGTTTGAACCCCCCATATGGAAAAGACTCAGATGTGGCCTACTTCATATAGTGAATCATAGAAGGCTTCTATGATTTACTCATGAAAGCGTTCATACATTGTTTTAGTATCCAAAACATACAAGTTTCATTTATACAATTTTTCAAGAGATCTTATATCTGTTTTCACTCTTGTATGCTTTTCATACAAGTTTCACACAAGACAGATACAAACTTCATAAGATTTATATATATCTTTTCCATATGGGTGTTAAAGCTACATGTTTACCTGTGATCAATATCAGTAAAAGCAGTGAAACAATACAAGACATCTGAGCAAATTCTGATAGACTGGTGGTGATAAATGTGCTGCAATACTTAGTCGATTCATTGATTCTGGTTAATTACAAGGAACACTATGTAGGCGGCTACTTTCTGTTTTAAAAGAAGGCTTTTCCTTGTTTGAACATGAAAGCACCCCGAGCTTTCATAAATATACCAGAGACTCATATTAGAGTTGCAATATTTAATCAAGTAATTCCTTCTCCAATCAACAGAAAAACAGCTTGTAAAAGACTTAAGAGAATAAAAAGGAAGAAGCCAAGAGCTATTTGCTTGTCTTGGTCTCTAAACTTACTACTTGAATGTTTTTCCCGTTTTACTAACATGAAGAACAACATTACAGCAAAATATGGAAGATGCCAGCATGTCTGCAAACACTCGCTCCTGGTCGGTGGCTCGGTCTCAAGCCCTGCGTGACTTGACCTTACAGCGTCTTAGATGCAAACAGGCAAGTTAACGTTACATGATTAGCGGTCATGTGACTGCAAAACCTTAACGGAAGTCTATGGCAAAAACAGCGATCCGATTCGATCTCTAAAAGCTGTCATGACACACTAACAATAACATTTTGTAACTTTTTTTATCAGTCTCGTCTAAGAGGAGACTGATAAAGAAATCGACCCAAATGGCAGATGGCCCCGCCCCTCCCTGAGCCTGGTTCTGCTGGAGGTTTCTTCCTGTTAAAAGGGAGTTTTTCCTTCCCACTGTCGCCAAAGTGCTGCTCATAGGGGCTCATATGATTGTTGGGTTTTCTCTGTATTATTGTAGCGTCTACTTTACAATATAAAGCACCTTGAGGTGACTGTTGTTGTGATTTGGTGCTGTGTAAATAAAATTGAATTGAACTGAATTAAGACGAGAGGATTAACCAGGTAAAGATTGGCCATTAATGAGTGTTTAGTTTCACAGTTCGCTCGAGCCTTCGCTCTGTTTTTTTGGTTGCAGACCTGTGTTATTCAAGTCAGCAAAGTTTCAAGAGTTAATTATCCAACTGACAAAAGCAACTTGAGAAAAATGAAAGTTTGGAGAAACATCTTTGGATAGTTGGAGCCTTGTGAACGTCAATTTCACTTGGCTACATTTGATATGAGTTTGCTGATTTAGGATGACAAAAATCCTAAAATGAGAGAATAATGTCTTGGTGTTGCTCTTACTTGGCACCAGAGATGGGCAGTAATGCGTTACTGTAATCTGATTACTTTTTTCAAGTAACGAGTAAAGTAAGGGATTACGCTGCGTTACTGCGTTACTAAAACCGTGATTTCGTTTGCGAGAGTGTCTCCTCACAATGATGTAAGCGAGCGCGACGTTCGTGACAACAGCTGTGTGCAGATCAACAATGGATCACATATCGAGTGCAGAGAGAGTATGAGCGTGCAGCGTTTAAAGCGTGGAAGTACTGACCTTACTTTGAGTTTGATTCCGTAAAAAGTGACAAAAACATTAGTGTCCGCTGTGCGTGGGAAGAAAACTGCTTTTTACAGCGAAAAAACCCCTAAACGTCCGAGCAAGCTCCGAGTAGCTACGACGTAATGGGAAACTCACAGAGAAACTCGCGGATTCTTCCACTGACCGCGGCACACCTGCACCAGGGTAAACCTCCGCCTGCCCCACTCCTGCTTTACAGGTGAAAATAGAGCAACAGGACCGCTGAGTCTTTGACTTTATTTATTTTCTGCTGTGAGTGTAAACACAAAAAATATTTTCTTTTATGTGCTGGAATGTGCAGAAAATAGGTTTAAATGTTAAACTAATTTCTTTCAGTTAGAGAACGGTGCATATGATTTAATGTTTGCTTGATGCATAAAGTTAAAAGATTAAAACTAATAAAACAAGTTTTAAAAAGAGACTTTTCCATTTGATTACATTTTGTATGATGGATTATGCAGAAAAAGTAGAATTGGGCTGAAAGATCTATCACTTTATCACCTGTTCAGGTTGTAAATCGTGTTTTTAAAAAGTAACTAAGTAACTAATTTCTTTCTAAAACAAGTAATCAGTAAAGTAACAGGATTACTTTTGGGGGAAGTAATTAGTTACTGATTACTTTTTTCAAGTAACTTGGCCAACACTGCTTGGCACCCACCTGTACAGACCACATCAGGTGCAGCCAGTAAAAAGACCTACTTACTGAACATACATACATAGACTGCAAGTGTAGCTACAGCATTACACTTCGTTGTACGTGTACTGTGTACATACAAGTACAATAAAAGGCTATTCTATTCTATTCTATTCTATTCTATTCTATTCAAATAAAGGAAAGATTTGTCGTCTTCACACCGAGAAACAGCTTATTAATGTCACACAGGTATGAGACATCTGAAGCAGCACCAGATAACTGATGTCAAGGTGTAGGTCTCATGTTGGAACTAGAATCGGCTGGATCGCTGCGTTTCTAAAATCTAGAGCACCTGAATACAGTTTATATGTTTGCTGTTTACACTGCAGTAACACAACTAAGTTCTCATTAAACAGAAGTGTAACACCAAAATGTTTCAGGGTGTCTGAAAGTTTTTTGTTTTTTTTGACTCCATAAAAAAGCAAAAAATATGCTGGTATATACTGACCTGTGGAGCCAGAAACATGAGGCTGGGGATGTCCAGTAGACACTTCAGTTCATTCCAAGGCGTCTCCCTGCAGGGGGGCAGCAGGGTCGGGGCTGGCCGGTTGCTCAAAGACACACTCAGTCCCTCAGCTACCAGCAGCTCCAGGTACTGTGATACCTGCTGTACCCTGAAGATCCAGTCTTCCAGACAGGAAACATCACAATCCCCCTCATCTAATGAGAAAAGGGGAAGTAGTAGATTTAAAGTAGATTAAGTCAGAGAAGTAGAAGTCAGAGTTTCTAAAATATTCAAGAACTTCCAAATCAGCTCTACCTGATGGTTTGAGCTCAGAGCACATCTGCTCTGCCAGGAGTTTTACACCCAGGGAGATGTCACCCATCCTCTCTGGCTTCCAGCCCTGCAGGCGTCCTCTGTGGACCAAAATCTGAACTACAGCAGAGACCAGGTCCTGGAGGAACTTTAGTGAAAGAGCAGGAGTGCTGTAAGAAGCACAGACAACAAATGCTGCAGAAACCAACACTACACTCTACTCACCTCCACCACCTGCTCACATGTGACAACCGCTGCCGCCCCTGCCGCATGCTGGGACATGGCCATGACGAGGGGGGCACGTTCTTCTGCAGTTCCCCGCAGAGTGTCTGCAAGGAAGACGATCAACTGCTCTCGGCTGACTCCAGAGGGGCCGGCGTATCCGGCCTTCCCCGAGGCTGTTGGAGCTGCCAGTCCAGGGTCGATGCTGGACATGCACCGGTAGACCCTCCTCACCATCGAGCCCGGTGCCACGCTGCCCACTGATGACTGGGGGAAACAAAATGTTTAAAGAAACCCGGTGACAGAAAGCACCTCTACACCAAGTAGTCAAAGCAGCATAGTCACAAAAACAAATCCTGCCTGATAGGAAAAGCTTAAAGATGTACAAATGGAAAACTGGACTTCTTAAAACATGTGAAACCTGATGTAATGAAGTCGTGATGTTACATAGAAACTATTATTCAGGCTTTTACCTGTTCCATCTGCTGACACACTTTTAAGTCTTATTTTGAAAACATTTAGTACTGCTTCCACAGTCACACCTGCAGCATCTCCAGCGTTATGGTCTTCCCTGCGGCGCCCCCAGCACCACCCTGGAGCTTGTCAAAAACCCCCTCAACCACGGGTCGCTCCTCGGGACGGAAACGGGCCAGCCGCTTCTGCACCACCACACTCTCAGCGTTACCCATGATGTTCTGCAGTCACACACAAAGTACAGCAGAATGGAAATCATCATTGTGTGTATGTACTGCCAGGCAATCGAATCCAATTCAAAGAAAAGCAAAGCAATATTACATTTGAACCAACCTAAAGATAAATCGATATCAATGAAAAGAGGAGCAACGGCTATTTTTTAAACCACTGGGCGAGAGGCGGGGTACACCCTGACAGGTCGCCAGGCAGTCACAGGGCTAAAAGTCGAAGAAGCGAAACCAGGTGATGAGTTTATGGGCTCGCTTAAAGAAGCTAAAATGAAAAGAATTCGATGATACATTTTTAAAACCTCCTGTGAGCCGAGCAAATTAATCAAGTTTAGAAATTAAGAAGAATACATATTATACCAAAGACAAAAATGTAGCTAAGCCTAAATAGTGAAGCCAATGTGCACCTGCAAAGGCGGCAGGGGCGACTCCCATGGTTGCAAAAAGACTTCTGGTTGCATAGAAGTCTAAGGGAAAATCATACTCTGCTCCCTTATGAAGCCACCTGATTAAACACTTTCTGAAGAATTTATGGGCTCAGTCTTCAGAGGCATCATAAAAGGGGGCAGACTACCAAGTTAGGTGGGAGGGGACTGGGCAAGTTCCTAGTTCTTTCTAACCAGGATGACCTCTGAACGGTGAACATCGACACATGTGACAGGACCCGGTTTGCAGGGCTTTGGGACACAATGAGCAGCAGCATTTAGATGCTTTATGATGAACTTAATTGTCTGATTAATAAAACATTATGTTCAGCTGCTTCACTACAGCAGCGTCTCCTGAGATCTCTCCTGGTTAGGCAGATGTGAAAGCGCCACTGTGGGCTCACTAACTGGCTCAGTGAATACGTTGCACTCCCAGTGCTGATTAAGCTTTATCATTTAGTGGTGACTCCATAGTGGCCTGTATATTATGCCCCTCCGATTAATATGAATGGAAAGGACACAACAGCAGAAACGCTAGTTTTTATAATGTAGTCCAGCACACATGGACGGATGGCCCTACACGCGTTTTCTTTCTGTCTTAATCAGCTGCTGATGCCTGAAAACACGTTTAAAATCTTTGTCTTTCTGAAGGCGTTTCTAGATTCCCGAAAAACTCATCCAACCATCCGAGAATAAAAAACAGCAGCTTCACCGAGTAACCTGCGACAGTTTTAACTACTTTCTGTGGACGCGGCCATCTTTGTTTGGACTCAGGAATCGCAGGTGCACCGGGGAAGGAGGACAAAATTACTCTTTATCATTGCATTGACAGGAAAGTTTTTCCACCCGATGATTAGAGGCGTCCTTGGCTATTCTAAAGATACACACAGAGGTGATTTAGCGTTCAAAACGAAGCTAGCCAGGCTACTTTTCATCAGCGGTTAGCTGACACCTGGATGGATGCTGGGGTTAAAGTAACAGAGTCCAGCACTGCTTCATGATTATCCTTCGCCGAAAACGTCGTGTTTGATTAGCGAAGACAGATTTTATGCACCGCGGTCTCCGACAATAACAGTAAATGTGTCCGTGAGGCGCAAACCTTTGAATGAAAAAGCTGCTAAAAGCTTTCCATCCTGTGACAGCAACACTTCCGGGTCTTGCAGGAGCAACAGCCAATGAAAGAACGAAATGTCCACGCGCTCCAGGGAGGGGGCGGAAACAATGCGCGTGAGCAGCCTGGGCGCGTTCAAAGCGTCTCAGGTACAATACTGAAATACCGGAATACCAGTTGTATTCATACAATATTTCTGAACATGATTATCAGATAGATAATACTATATACTCAAAAATAAATGGTATACTATAAATACTATTCGAGCAATTTGTACGACGTACATCATTTTTTAATATTTACATAAAGTGACATGGGTATGATAATATTGAAACATTTATTTTTAGCATTTGTCATATGTGCATATGAAGTGATAAAGTGTAAAATTTGTAGCGTTATGAAAAACCATGTGTGGAGTTTTAAAAAAATATCCCATGAAGGCCATATTTATCCTTGAAAAAACGTCATAATTTCATAGGCAGGAGATGTGACTTTATCAAATGAAAGGAAAGACTTTGTAATACCACATAAATCGGCTTGCATCATATCTCATTTCTTTCAGCACACTCCTACATGAATGTATTACAGAACACAGATCCTGGGGCCCATCACATCAGAGGGCTCCTGGTTTTTAGAATATACATGAAGTAACACAGCTCGATGACAAGACACAAAACAACTATTAAAATCGATAATCAATCCCATAAAGACAAAAAAGAACCACAGGAAGAAGAAAAACAACTACAAAGAGACTCTAAACTCTCAAAATACCCACAAAGAAAATGATACAAAGGTCTCAAGGATATATTTTTTTAAAAAAAGAAAACTCATTCTGCAGTTTCTGTAGTTTCCCTCTTCCTGAAAAACTGAAACAAATAGTAAGTTATTGTCCAGTTTTCGTACTTTTGTCTCAAACCTGAATGTGTGACTCATACACAGTACAGCCCTCATAAAGAGCTTGTATTGTTTTCATGCTCCCGTCCCCTCTTTCACCAGTAGAGGGGCCACGAGAGTAACTAAAGACAGACGGGAAGGTCCTCTGCAGAAACAGCAGGCAGTTGGAAAAATGCCTTTTAAGGGCATAAGATTTGCTGTGTGAGTGCTCGGAGTTGGATGTGTCGCATTGTAATGAGGGCTTTTGAATATGAAGGTGACGCATTGCCATCTGCTTGCGTCACATAAACAGGATATGGTGGCAAAGCAGAGAGTGCAGTATAAGAAGAACCTGAGAGTTAGAAGACCAACCCCGGAGTGCATCCACTGCAATAAAGCCACAGATAACTGGGTCATAAACCTGAATGACTCAGTGAAGTTTTGGTAGCACGAATACTAAATGGAGTTATCATCACTCTTCTGAAGCTCAGCAAAATGAATTAAAGGGGTTCTTAGGCACATTTTCTGGTGGACCTCCACCTGCCTCCATCTGAATTTGAACCTCACTGCCTCTAGGCTTTTGCTTAGTCCTAGAACCACACCTTCCAGATTTTTAGTCTTTCTGCAAGTTTGCTCTCATGTCTGCTTGATTCTGCATTGCTCTACTTCATAGTAAAGACCTACCCACACACATTCACAGTGTGAACTTCTGTTGACTGTAGTGGAACTTAACGGCACCTGCCATAAAGTGTTTAAAGTTGCAAAAACACATTTGGGAAAAGTCAGCAGCGAGTCTTTCTCCAGAAACTGTGTCTGGGTTTCTCAAGAACAGGAAAAAAATCCAAAACCCTTGGTGTGAGCAGTTTCAAGTAGGAAGTATTTGCTTTCTAGTCTCTACATCGACCAATCAAAGGAAGCATGTAACAAGCTCACATTACAGCTCAGCCGAGGGAGACGCCTACTTGTGTAATGTCTATGAGGGCGAGCTTCTTTCTAGGCGGGCGCAGTTCAGCAGAAAGAAAACAGTTTGTACTTCAGAGTTAACGGGGTCTGTGGATCTTTTTACAGTCATGATGTTTGGAAAGAGAAGTTTGATTTTGAGGTGAACTTCAGTCAGGAAGACTCTTACAAATAAACATATAAGTATTAATTATAAATTCAAATAATCTTTGGACGACATGATCCATGTTTCTACAGGGGAAACCAAAAACTGTATTATACCCCCTGTAGCTGCAGCTGATTGATCAAGTAGGGCTTACAACATGTGTATTGTGTCATTCTTTATTGTGTTTCAACACAACAGTGCAGACAGAGTTCTCTAAATAATCCTCTAACAAAGGGAACAGTGGCAAAGTCCAAGCCTTGTTTAGAATTTATACAGCAGCTATTTAAGGCAGCAATCTGCAAAGAGAAATACTACCTTAAACTCTGCAAAGGCCGTAAAGATTGTGTACTCTTATATGCATGCTCATATACTCATATATGTACTCTTATATGCATAACAGAAGCACAAACACAGACAGAAAAGCTGCAGGAATAACTGTCTTTTGGAAAGTTTTCAGAAATATCTTCTTGGACCTAAAAGTGTTTTTGTGATTGATTCTTATAGAAATATATTAAATATAATATACAGACATTTAATGTGATGCAGGATCAGGAGACATTGTAGGCCTGGGTCATGAAAGGATAATACAAACAATGACGCATTTAATTTAAAAAAAAGAAAAAGAAAAAGTGATTTGCTTAAACAAAATCACTTCATGTACTCATTTGTTTCAGTACGACCTGTTTAAGTCAGGAAGTCTCAGTCTGCGTCAGACTTTACAGAGCATTCTTATTCCCAACGCCCAACCATTTATCACATGCGAGGGGATGTTACGCCGTGGGATGAGAATGTGTTGTAGTTTAAGGAAACAAGCTGAACATAAAGTCACAGTTTATGGCTCGCACTTCTCATTTCTCCTGAACTGAGTATCAAACAAGTCTGTACACTTTCTCTGTAAACTCGTGGCTGTTAGTGGTTCGTACCAAATCAATCCTGCCAAAGAGGGACACTAGACAGAGCAGGCCTCACTGGGCTGAAGGGGATGGGTGTGATAGCAGTGGCCTTTTATTTTTTAACAGTTTCATTTTCATATGTTGACAGAAGTTTTCATTTTCCCCAAAATGACTGTTGTTGTCCGCCACAAGCTGCTGTTGGGTCTAAAAGTAGACTAGGAGGCCAGCCCTCTCCTTTGGAACCAGCTCCCAGTTTCTGTACTTTGAAGATTGGATCTAAGGAGCTGGACTTCTTTGAGTTTCTTGAAGAAATGTTTCACTTTTCACCCGAGAAGCTTCTTCGGTTCTTAGACCAAATGGTGGAGAGTCCCTGGTATTTAAACCCTAGTGGGAGTTGTCCCTTAAGAGGGTCGTTGATCCACTGACTCATTACAATTTGAAGATTACAACTTTCCTTTTTAATAAAGCCAATAGTTACAGCTGGATCAGGTCACTCTGAGCTCGGAGTTAAAACATGAAGAGCGATTTCAGTGAACTCTGAGCTGCAGATACAACCACACCAATTACAATTTATAATCTTGGCTCTTTTTATTTTCTGTTTTGTTTCCTCATTTGTCATACTTCATCCGCCTCATACCTCAAGCAGGTACGAACAGAACCAGCGAAACACACAGTTCATGTATTTGCACACATTCTGATAAAAAAAAGAAAAACATGGCTTGATCGCTATCTCTGGCAGCCTGCGTGTTCACTCATCTGTACTGATTCAGCTGTCAGCAAGCTCAGACTTGAGAAGTGAGCCTCATTAGTTCTTCTTTTCTTTTCCCTTTACCCTCTACCCCGTCCTCTGAGCTCAGTCCCTATATGGTAAAAGCGTCACTGTCGAGTGACTGCACGGAAAATCTATCATTTGACTACCAAGTTAGAAAAAAAGAAGCCACACACTGTACACTCGCAAAGACTGAAATTCTCAACTTTATCTGCTGTTCTGCGCTTGTTGGATTCGCTTGTACTTTGTGCAGAAGTTACAGCGCTCCCATGAAGTTTTCATTCATACAAGCAGGAAACAGTCATCACCTGAAGAGGTTTTCTGTTGAGGTTTAAACACAAAAGGGAACTGTGTGTTTGCCGTGCAAACAGTCTTCTTGATTGCTTTGCATCCAAAGCATTTGAATGAGATTTTGGTTTGTTTCTGACAGCTTCCTGTGCGTGTGTGCACGGACCACAATGTGCCAGCTCAGAGCTGTGAGAGAAATGACACCTTGGCAAAAATGTCACTTATGTGAGTATTTGCGTTAACACCAGGCTAATATACCTACACATTTATGAAGAATCGTAGCTCATTGCAATTACAATCAGCTTCCTCATTTCGGTACATTCTGGTCTCTGCAGCAGCTCTCGATTCATTCTGAGAGAATCAGGATGCTGCTGAGTCTTTTATGTGGCGACTTCTGCGTGCCGGTTTCACTGTAAAATTTAACCTTGTGAAAAAGCAGCAGAAGAAGAAGAACACCGGTTCCACGAGGCAGCAGACCTTTCAAGGGGATAAAAAAAATCGCATGCTTGACTTTTGCATGTTGAACTTGTTTCCCTTTACCCTCTGCCCCGTCCTCTGAGCTCAGTCCCTATATGGTAAAAGTGTCACTGTCGAGTGACTGCACGGGAAATCTATCATTTGACTACCAAGTTAGAAAAAACAGAAGCCACACACCGTACACTCGCAAAGACTGAATTTCTCAAATTTATCCGCTCTTCTGCGCTTGCTCGTGTAGATGAACTGACCTTGTCAAACACAGGTGTAACTAGGTCCAGTACTCTACTATGTTACATAAGCAGTGTGCAAATTGGCTGTAATTTTTCATCCTACAAGACTAGCTATGAGCCCAGAGTCACCAAACGGCCTTCCACTTCTTTACTCTGGAAAACGAGGGGGATTCACACGATTCCAGTAGTTTCTAAAACTAAAGACGAAAAAAGCTAAAAGAGAAGAAGAATTATTTTCATGAAGTAGCAAAACAACTGCAGAGAAATGTGGATACATGAGTGTAATTAACCACATACAGACAGGACGACCGTATCAGCGATGTGATGGACAAAAACCGCAGATTATCAACAAGATTCGGAAACTCAAACAGCAACAGGCGAATGCAAAGCAGGTTAAACTAGTCTCAGCTTTCAGGTGAGTAACTGAAGCAACTACCTACCCATGCTGACTAACACATGACCAGGGTGATCAGAT